GTGAGTGAAGCCCACAAGTGAAACTGAGGCTGAAAAGATAATCTCGCACACATTCTGCACTGAGGGTGTTCTTTATAGATCTTTCTAGCTGTCTATGGGGAAAAGTGGCCGCTGACCTCAGTTTGAGAGATGACCTCTCATCTTGCTTCTTATTTGCTTTACTTTCTATTTAGTGGGTTACTTATTGAGGTGTTGATTTGTTTTGATTTATTTGCCTGGGGTGCTTTTTTGTGTTGTTATGATTTTTGTTGAGTCGGAGTTACAGTTCAGAGGCATGGATCATTCTGTGAAAGAAAGCGGATCTACCGAGAAACCCAATGAATGAACGAACCTAGAAATGAAGTCAAAGAGATCGTACAAGAAGAGAAGAACTCAGGTGACGAGTAACCATTTATATATCTAAAGAACATTCAATTTGAAGAACTCTAGAACGGATCAAACTCTTAATTAATTTATTTTGTTTACTATTAGTGTAACTGCTTGATCTGCCTTATTCTTCAGAATTTAGAATGGTTATCTATATCTTTATGCAGTCCTCTTACGATTTATGATTATATTGAATCAAATCTTCGTAGATATGGTATATGGGATGCAATATATAGCCCCACACCGCCTCCTTTATCTGCGTTTGAAAGTCTTGGTTTTGCAATAAAATCGAAGCCAGAAATTTTAGCCTAAGCCTCATCATCCTTTGAAAGATAAGTTTCGCTGAGGGTGAAAATATGGATCTTTTTAAAGCTCTCTAAAAGAAGACAGGTGTTGTGTTTATTTGTTAGAAGCCCTCTGATATTCTGATGTAAGATTTTGAGGCCAGGCTTATTTTGCAATACAGCCAGCTCGGGTAACTCATAATGTGTGTCAGCGTTTACACCATTTGCCGTGTTTTGAATATCAGCAGCTCCATTCGAACTTTTGCGATCATGTTTTGTTAAGCACGATAAACAGCGAGCTTCGTTGAGATCTTTGATCAAGCATTTCAGGTGTAATGTGTCCTGACATTGCACACACATAGCTCTACTTTGGTTTTTTCGCACTGTTTTGGCACACGAACAGCACTTTATGGATGGACCTGGGCATGTTATTTCTAATTGAATTTCAAGTAAATTGACATTTCTATTGAAGAAAGATAAAAACATATAAATTCTAGTTTGCTGCCTCTTGAAACATGTATCTTAAAACTTTAATCAGCATTTTCTCAGAATAGTAATTTTTGAGTTTAGTGCAAAGAAATATTTTACCTCCTGATTATAACGAAACATGTCTATACACCACAAGAAAGCTCATACTTCAGAGAGAGGGCGTTATTTTTTACATTAGATAACTATTTGTCTTAATGATTGGCCTTGAAAAGGAGAGATGTATAGCCAAAAAAGTGAGATTTTGAAAAATGTGTTACAAAAAAGTACAAAATTAGAAAATTAAAATTTAAAGACCTTTGTGCAATCCTTTGATGTATCATTTTGGCTTATATGTTTAACAACAACTAAGAATAGCTTTCAATAAGCAAGGAATGTTTTTCCCCATATGTTACCAGTTGCAATAGCAGCTATAAGTTATTTTAAGAATTTTATTACATTTTTGTAAAAAGGGCAAAAAGTTACCTCAAGTCCCCAAATATTAACAGTGTAGCACTACAACAAAGATTTTAGAATTTGGATCACCTACTTTAATCATTTTTCAGACAAGGGATGAAAACTTAGGTCAAATTTATTTAGATTAAAAAGAAAGAAACAGGAATTGCAAGGAGCAGCAGAAAAGGGAAATTACTCTGGGACTTGCAATAATATAGGTAGTTGTTTAATATTGTTTTCTTTTAAATTGTTATTGTCATTGTAATTATCTTCTATTTGATTGTTAATTTGTCTTTCTTATTAATGTCTTCTATCTTTGTTAATCTGCATAGGCATAAAGACTTGTCATGGTTGTTGCTAGTTGATTAGATAATTGTCGCATTTGTTCCTGACCAATCGACTTGCCTGTAATGTTTGACTTCAATAGACCTGTTTTTTAACTAGATGTTTGGAAACAGATTCCAATATCTTGGAATAGTGCAGGGATCTGAGGAATAAAACGATGTCAGAATCAGATGTTTTATGTTGCCATTGAGTAATTGCCACAAAATGTGGAGCTTGCCACAAAAGATTGATCAAACAAACATTATCTAGCAAATGAAAATCTAAAGGTCTATTGTTTACCTTTCTTTCATTTTAGCCTGCCTATAATCAAGAGGAGTATAGTGAACTCGACAGTGGCCAAACCCTAGAGCAGATGAGTTTATCAAGGGATATCAGACCAGAATTGGTAGACCACAATTTGATTTCCTGGCTTGAGGCCGCTACTTATGAATTTTCGGCCATTATTAATTTTGCCTTTTGTTTTCTTCACCACAACACATAAGATTTTTGCTTGCAAGTTAGCAGCCAATAATATTCAACATGGACAACAATTTCATCAATTCTGTTAATACGTTAAAAAGTTTCATGACTAAGTCATCAATGAGTTCAAAGTAGAGGTACTTGATACTAAATGTATACACATTGAAACCTTTTAGAATCATTTCCAGTTTAAAGTATTTGCTAATTTTCTAATAAAGTTGAACTGTATTACTAATAAAGTATGCTCCAACTGATTCTTTTTATTGACATTCTCTTTTCAGGATGATGCCCTCACTCATGTTAGCTGTAACTGCACAGGGTCATGCAAGCGAAACTGCCAATTTAAAGTTGCTGCTGTCCACTGCAAAGAAAATGTCTGCAGGTGTCCATTGCAGAAGTGTTCCCATCGACCCGAACAAAATGCAACAAACAGCAATGCAAATCAGGTGCAGGAAATAGTTTAATAATGCAACACATGGTTTTATACACTTTTTTGGATACCTATATATTTGGGAGGGCAAATCTCTAAACTCTATGTCTAGAACTTTGATTTATTCTTCTATATTCATTACAATGAATTTATTATTGAAATATACCCTCCATTGTACATTTATTAGACTTAATGTAATGAATCATTTGTGTCAAAAGGTAATGGTTTTAACATTTAGTATAACAAATCCTTATATTAATGTAGCAATTACTAGCAAAGAGAAGAAAACGACCTTACGAGCTGCAAGAGGAACACCAAGAAAGAGCAGAATCTGCTTATAATGAAGCAAAGGTATATAAAGGTATGTATAAAGGTATTTACAAAGCACAGAGACTTTATTTGTATATTCTGCTTTTTAAGCTGTTTCTCAAGTAAATTTTGACATCTTTTTCACCGTTTTAGCGATGTTCAAATAAGATGTACCTCTTAGTCAGCAGATTTTTTAAGCTGTCCTGAGCTTTTATGCTAACGGAAGAATGCCTCAGATAATATAGCCAAAAAAAGTTATTGACAAAAACCAAAGGAGTAAATAATGAGTAAAATGATGCAAAATGTTGCATAACTGAATTTTTTGAAGAAATTTGCTTTTCATTGTCTGCTCCTCAGGTTATGCCAGGGCTTACATTTTGAACGAAATAATAGATTCAAAAAGGACACTTAGCTTAAAGTATCTTTGACAGGAACAATGCAGCCGGTTAGAGAAGGATGATGTAATAAATCGTGTTTGTCTCATGGCCAAAATGTCCCCTCTACTTTGGAAGCGTGTCAGTGAAATGTCTGCCCAAATTGACATGTCCACTGTTTCTGAAGAGAGTCCTTTGTGGTGTGTCTGTGATGGATGCAGGAAGGTGCCTCTAGAAAAAGAGAGAGTTTGTTGTAAGAACAAAGAGTATGGGCACCAAAATCCACTCTTTGAGCACCATGTCTTGTTCGAGCCTACCCTAGAGTTGGCAATGCGCAATAATGCAGACCATCTCCATTACCCTTTTGACAGAAGCAACAATGCCTGTTGGCGGTTTACAGCTTACCACCAGTACTATCTCTGGGCCTGGGGTAGGCTAGGAAAGCATAATAGGAAAGTGATTCCCTCCTGCTGTGTTTGGATGATAAGGGAAAAAATTTCCTGATGAATATTCAAGCTACACTGGATTTTTTGATGTAGAGTTTAATCTGTAATTTTTCAGAATACATCAAATTACCTGCATTAAATTTCACTTTGTTTCATATTTGCACGTTTCACGTGTGGTGCAACATGGTCAGTTGTGGGAGGGGCTGGCTTTGAACCAATGTTTCTTGCCAATGCCTTGGTAGCTCTCCTTGCCACACCTGAATTCCTGTCCATATGTCGTCTCCACATGATTTTTGCTTGCAACTCTAAATAAGATCTTATGAATGTATAACAACTCAATACTACTTAACAAAAACTGAAATAGAAACTTTATTTCAATGATCCACCTATAGTATTCATCATTCAATTGTACATGACAACAATGTTTATTACAACAAAACCAGCAAAATTTGTTTTATCAACCAAGAAATAACTGTTATATAAAAATCATGTATGCTGGATACTACCTTCCATATACAAATATGACTCAGGAACTGGAACTGCATGCCACATCTTTTTCCTTTTACCCCATTTTCTAGCAAAAACTTGGGTACCATCTTTTCGCTTCAACTACGGTCTGTTTAGGTGTGCATTATAATCTAAGTATGCCAGCTCACATCTGGTAACAAAAGCATCATTCTTGTAACAATTCGCTTACAACAGTACTCCAAGATCACATTGTGGAAAACCTATATGCATAAAAATATTTTACACAAAATTTGCTGGCAGCATTGGATTAATGGTACAACATAAAACACATGGCAACTGCTTTAGCCTACCTCCAGTAATAAAGAATCTGCACTTAATTGATATTCTCTTCACTTCTACGGAAAAATGTTTATAAACACTTACCTCCAACATACCAGTATGCCTGTTCCGAACATAATAGTGTAGAGAATTTAATAGGATGCTATCCATGACTATCTCTCTAAGAGCTAACAAAGTATTACTGCCAGGCTCTAGCCACTTCTTCCCATTCAATGGTTCAATTATGTTGTCATGATCACAGTCCTGGTGGTCATCCCCAATGTGATGTAAGAGTCTGGTCCAAAGAAGGCGAAGTTTCACTTCATTGCTGTCACAATTGCCACAACAGTATCAGAAATGGTTCCTTATTGCTGAAATCCATGGCAAAAGCTCTTGATGGGCCTTCTTCGTTGCAACCTTTGAGAATGCATAAAAAATGGGATAGCTCTATCGTGACAATTATGCCATCATCACTGCAAAGACTACATGCACATTAGTGTATCCAGATAGAAAAATAAGTTCTTTAAAGAAATCTCATACAATAGTTTCATTAAAATAAAGTTCAAAACTTTTTGCAAGATCCTAATTTGTCAACCCCTTTGTCAAATACCCCCACAAATAGTAAGATAGAAAAAAGCCCTGGTTTTTCAGTTGTTAGCCACATAGCTGCAAGATATGTTTTAGTCAAAAAACAGATCAAAAATTTACCTCAAACAGCTTAGAGGTAACTCTATTTGTTTTGTGCCAGACATCTTTACTGTGGAATATTCCTTTCAATGATGCATGTTTTGCTGAAAAGAGGCAACAAACAAAAAGGTCAGATCAGGACAATTTGAATAGACCCATAGCAAGAAAAAAGAATAGTTTACTTCATATTCTAACTGTAAGGTGATAATATTACCATAAAGGGTGTCTGAAATTACCCATTAGAGATGCAATGGTAGTATGTCCATCTGTGCACATTTCTTTGACTAATGGTCCTAGTATGTCTTTTAAATGCATGCATCTAATCCAATGCATGCCTTTTAAAAACATATGGGCTTCCAGTGCTAGAGACTTTAAATTGACCTGAAAAAGACAATGAAATGTTAAACATGAGGTTTTAGGTTATTTGTTAGCATGAGTTGGCCTCAATGGGTCCAGCAAGCGACCACCTCTGTACTGTATTAAACACCTAAATTATGTATGATAAGCAAAGTCTCTGAAAAAATATGACACAGCTAAAAGATTAAGATTTTTGTTTGATAGTTGTCACACCTCTCTGGTATCTCCAAATTCTAGGCTGATTCATTCCCTTTAAGCTTGCAGCAAAAATTTTTGATCCCTTTGGCATATACAGCATTTTTGTGATTAACATTAAGGATCTTCTTCAAGAATTATGCGAAGCTAAACTACCATGGGATGAGAAGTTAACAGGTATCAATAAAACTAAATATGAACCTATTCTCAGGCAAATTGAACAGTTACAGTGTTTGGAGAAGCCGCGTTTTGTTTTGAAAGCAGCAAAACTGTGTCACATTCCTACTGATTCCTTCAACAATCTTTATTTCAACCCAGTCATAAAGAGGTTTGCACAAGCTGAAGCGAACTTAGTTCCTATAGCCGTGCCCAACTTCTGTCAATAGAACTTATCATGAAATTCAAAGTAGTTGTTTTCAGGACCCAGAGGTGCCAAGACCACAATTGGGTTTTCCCCTCTATCCAGCGCTACCCTGGTGGCTTCCAAACCCTCCCCAAGTGGACTGCTAGGATTGAGTCCCACAACATCAACCGAGCACAGTATAGCCCCCTCTGGTATCCTATCTATTTCACTTAACTAACGTGTCCTTAATGTACGACCTAGAGAGGCTAATCAGAAGATTCAGGTGGCTAACTAGTAGACCAGAGGTGATGGGGTGTTGAATATTTGACTATCTTGCAGACACCACTACAAGGCACGAACTGTAGAAGCTTATATCTGTAAGTAGTATACGGGGCTTGGGCGTAATATGACCAAAGACGTCCAACATTAAAAACGAGGTTAAAGTTAGTGTGATTATATATATCGTAAAATAAACTAATTGAATGGCTTACACAAGTCGATAGTATAATGTATAATTCGTAATGGCTATAAAAAACTGTTCGTTTGAGTTCAAATGCGGCCACAACTCCCTGCGTGACCGCTCCCTGTATCTTCGACTCTTTGCTCTCGACTGACCACAGGGGTCCGAAGTTATAACAAAAAGATAACAAAATCCAACATCCACCCCCCTGATTGACAACGTCAATCAGAGCCTATTTACAGAATAAAATATTACAAAATGTATAAAATTTTAAAGTCCTTTAATAAACTGTGCAACATCTTTATCTTTAACTTGTGTGATTTGAACGTCTTGTTCTGCTTCTGAGGCTTCTGGAACTTCTTGTACTTCTAACGGGTAAAATTTTTTCAGTGGTCGTTTAATATTAATGTTTCTGCCAGCGCTGTCCATGGTGACGAATACAGCTCCACGTACTCCACCATCTTGACCGATAATAAGACCCATAGTTTTTCCGAGTGCCCAGCTTTATCGGGGGATCTTGTCTTTATGTATAATCACAATATCTCCGACTTGCGTGATTCTCTTCAACGATCCTTTTTTCAAACACGCGTGTTCACGCAATGCGGGTAAATATTCTTGTTTCCATCGAGCGAAAAAATGTTCCAATAATGTATTGAGATATTTGAGTCATTTTGTTAAGTGTTTCGGGCCCGATAGTTCTACGTCTTGCAAAATACTAGGCTTATCCAACAACCTGCGACCGACCACTAGACAAGAGGGGGTAAGCGGGGCCTCCCCAATATCGCTGCTAACGAACGTAAGAGGTCTCGAACTAAGCACACCTTCGGTCTCTATTAACACAGTTTCCAGTTCTTCGAACGTGAGAAGAGCGTTACCGAGTGTTTTCTGCAAACAGCGTTTCGTTAGCTTCACCAAAATTTCGAAAAAAACCGCCATACCAGCTCGCACATGGCAAGTTAAACTTCCAAGTAATATCGCGACTTAAAATGTATCTCTGTACCATTTTATCAACAAATGTTTTACCGTTATCCGACTGTACACTCGTAGGTAAACAGGGGCGATCGATTAAACGTTTTAATACGCGTATAAATGAGTTTGCCTGTAAGTCAACGGCGAGTTCGAGATGAATTGCGCGAGTACTGGCACACGTAAACAGGGCAATGTAGCATTTATGTTTCATTTGAACCAGAGCAGATATTTTTGACGTACAACGGGCCCACGAAATCGACTGCAATGTTCGAAAATGCGACATCATCGGAAACTCGAAAACCCGGCAACGGCGGGGGCCCAGGGGTATCGTAACATTTTTCCATTAACCTTTTGCATTGAACGCATTTTGACAACAACGTTTTCACAGTCTGGCGACACTTACAAATCCAATACTCGGTTCGTATTTGTGTAAGAGTTTCGTTTGTACCATTATTCTTTACGATAAGGTGGTTTTTGCGAATGACCAGTTCCGTAAAATAGTGTTTTCTCGGTAAGAGCACAGGAAATTTTGTCGAAAATGGAATAGGTGCGTTATCTAGCCTACCACTTACACGGTAGACCTCTTGTTCATCTTTTATAACTTTCAAGTGGCGTTTCGTTTCAGAAAATTTCTTATCTAGTTTGAACGACTTTTGAATTGTACGATGCCATAATACCTTCGCGCGGTCGAGGTCTTCAGAATCTATAATATCATCACTGCTACTCGCTATATCACCTCGCAAACGCTTTATAAACTTCAACACAATAGCAGTAATGCGCAGGAGCTTGTCGTATCTGTTGTATTGCTTGCAATCAATTAACGTGGCGAGACTTTATTCTTTGTTTTTTGTCAAAACTGCGAGGATATTTTGTTCTATTGTTTCATCTTGAGTTACCAAAAGAATTTCATTTGACAAAGGCTCGAAAAATCTGGGCCAATTTTCAGGTGGCTCTAGTAGAAAAGCCGGACCACCAAACTATAGCTCGTTATTAATTAATTTCAAAGCAGAGCCCCTCTAGATGCATTGTTTCGTGTTTCAAAGGTGCAACCCTTGTTTTTGTGGCGACTAATCTTACAAATACTTGATCATCGAATGTGAGAAAGCGAATATAAACACAGGCTCCCAACGCAATTATGCTGGCATCTCCAAAACCGTGAATTTCAACAGCTTTAACGTCATTCGGATTAATGCTTTTCATCAAAGACCTATCAAACTCTATAGATAAAACACTTTCCTGAACAATCTGTTGAAATCGGATCGATATTTTGCTTGGTAAACAATCGTCCCAGCCAATTTTAATTTTGCAAATCTCTTGAAATAATTGTTTTAACAACACGCAAGTAGGAGCGGCGATACCCAGCGGATCATGAAACGGCGCGATTGTACTAATAACGACACGCTTCGTAACCCTTTCCTCCGTGGCGACATGAGCAAAAAAGATGAGGTTTAGAGCTAATTTATCTTTGTTCTGATCCCATGGAATACCCAAAACTTTTACATTTGCATCTCGAATAACACGAGATGGGGCTTTTCCCTGTTTTCAAATGAAATGGCATCTTCATTTCCCGAAAGGTTTGCTTGATTTGACCGTTTTTCTTGTGCTTCTATTTTCCGTAAAATTTCACTATTATTTGAGGCAAATTTTCGAAAGTTAAATCCTCCGGCGATAAAACATTGTTTCAGTTTTTGATACATTCGAAAACATTCTTCCTCAGATGATTAGGAAGACGCAAAATCATCCACGTAGATGGACGAAATGACATTTTCGATAAAAGTAGGATCAGAACTCATGGTTGAATTCAAATGATCTCTTAGCATGGCATTTAAGATGTATGGCGAACAAGTTAAACCAAATACCAATCGAGTAAATCGCAACGTGATTATTTCGGGACTTTCTGCATTACAGTCTTTTAACCAAAAAAAGCGTAAAAAGTCCCGCTGTTCTGGATCTATCTTGATGTTCAGAAATGCCTTCTGTATATCCGAAATTAAGGCTACATTGTGAGCGCGAAATCAAAGTAGAATATCGAACAACAATGGCACTAAATTAGGGCCTGACTCTAAACATTCGTTAAGACTGATTTCACCCGCTGCTTTAAAACTTGCGACGTAAACAATCCTCAATTTGGTTGTTTCCCTTTCTTCGCGAATAACTTCCCTATGTGGAATATAATGAACTGTACCTAACGGTTTAGGTTCCTCGTTAACAACTTCCACGATACTGGAATTGAGTTGTTCTTTTATTACAATATCGTATTGCAACAAAGTTTCGGGAGATTTATTCAAACCATTAACTAACGAATTCAATCTTCGTTTTGGCACTTGAAAATTATCTGGAATTGTTGGGTGATCGGCTTTGAATGGTATGGAGACTTGATATCTACCATCAATGAATTTAATTTTATTATCCAGTAACCCGTTTTCGATTTGTGAATCAGAAGAATTTTCCTTAATTCCCAATGTTTCGTGATCTCAAAATTTATGCAATTCTTGCTTCAATTCTTCATTAACTTTACTCGAAACAGTCTCTACTTTTAGCACGTGCGAAATTGTAATGTTAGAAGAGAAAGCGCTCGAATTGTGCACAGGCACTGGGCCACTAAGAACGTACCCAAAACGAGTGAGAGTGGCAACAGGTCCAAACAAATACTCCACCCGTACAACGGAATCTAGCATGAAGGACCAGAAAAAATCGGCTCCAATTCGCAGATTTATTTCTGTGTCTTCTAGGCCAGTATTTTGATCAGCTAGTTTCAGATTGGGTAAATGGGGGTAATACTCCTGAGCGAATTGAATGACTTGACTTGATAGGGGGCTACAAATTACCTCAACCACATATGCGTAAATGTAAACAGTTAGGTTATCGTCCCCTCGTACAGCTAATTGAACTACGTCACATTCCTTGTGAGTTCCTTGTTGATTTCCGAATTCTTTTATTACGACGTTTTCGGTTTTCATCGTGGAAAGTTGAAGGCTATCTCTTAGCGATATTGTAATGTATGTTTTCTGCGAACCAGTGTCTAAAATCAATCGAATTTTACGTGTGTTTACTTCATTAATACACTAAAAACACTTGCTTGTGCTGTTTGTAACAGTACCGAATTTTTAGTCGGGTCTTGCGAAAGATATAATGTACTTACGTGTTCCGTTGTGTTGACACGTGGCGCTGTATCACCCCTTGATGCTTCGCTCGAGAAGACTTCTCGTTGATGTTTACGCACGGAGTTCGAACTACAAATAGCCGCATGATGACTTTCTCCGCAATGAAAACATTTCCCCGTACTATGGCAATTTCGGCTCAAATGACCACTTCTTAAACACACGAAACATCTTTTCTTTTCGCCAAGGATATTTTTTCTCGTTGTCGGATCCGTAACCGTGGCGCAACTTGCAGAAAAATGCTTTTTGTTGCAAAAAATGTATTGCGTAGGATAAACATTTGAAACCAGCGTTGACGTCGTAGACTGATATCCTTGGGTTGCGGGCGTTTTGAAATTTCTGAGCTTTTGTTCTTGCGTGTTTGTCGTCGAAGGTCCGCTTATCGGTGCAAATGCACATTTTTCTCGTAGATTCAATTCCTCACCAAACACACCCAGTAATTCATCCAATTCCCAACTATCAGGTAATTTTTGACCTAAAATGATGCGAAGATCTTTTAGAATATTATCCCTGCTTAGGTTCAATATCAGGCCTAGGTAGGGAAATTCTTTTGGTATTTCCACCTAGGGTAGCAGAGTTAGATTAGGTACGAAAAAATTGTTCTAAGAGGACTGTATATAAATATCGAATAAGGAAAACAATGAATATATATATATATGACAAAAATATAATACGATAAGTGTTACTTGTCTGTTCGTTCACTTTGTCTTTGTCTTTGGTAGAATTCAACTTCGCATAGAGAGTTCCAACGTTCACTTGTCTTTGTCTTTGGTAGAATTCAACTTCGCATAGAGAGTTCCAACGTTCAAGAGTGATCTTCTCCAATTTCGTGAGATTCCTTCGGTTTTACGTACTTCATATTCTTGCATACATTCGAACAATACTGAGAGTTCCAACTCATAAAATCATAAAAATATAAAAGCTATAAAAACGGGTTTCACCCCAGCCTTAAGCCCCAGGACACGTCTCGTGAGCAGCAAAGCGCCACCGCAATTTCTTACAGATCTTGTGGAATTTTCGACATTATTATTGGTGATAATACTGTTACATAACTGTGCGTATAAATTCCTATACCGCGCAAACTTTCGGCTTCCGCTTTATCGTATAAAGTACGTAATTTTCGTATGTGTTCGATCAACGATATTCTCGATAAGTCCATCAAATTTTCAATATGTCTCGAAATTATGATCTGTTTATTACCAAAGCGCTTTTCTAATAATTCCAATGCTTCAACATAATTATAGGTAACCCCGCGATCGTTTCGGCGGCGTCTCCAGACAGTGAATTTTGGAGATATTTCATTTTCTCTACGTTGGCCAGCGAATTGTTCGCATTGATACTCGATTTAAAAGAATCCCAGAATGAAATCCATTGAGTTGGGTCTCCATTGAAGGACGTCAACGATAATTTTGGGAGTTTTACTTTCTGTGCAGGCAATTCTTCGCTGCGGTGTCGTCCTTGTAAGGGGGCTGGTGTGGCTTGTCTTTTCAACAGTCGGTTAGTAACTCTAGAATTTCGTTGTTAAGATTCTTTATATCTTCTTGTTTCTTCTGGATTGTAGTTTGAAATGACTTCAACTTGATCGCGGTCTCTTCGTCTACGTTTGTTCCGGGCGGCGTTAGAAGATCGCGTGTTTTCTTGAAGGTGTTCTTCACAACAAGTTTATGTCCATTTTTTATTCTTACCTTCTTTTTTACGTCTTTAGCCATACCTTTCCCGGGTCACGGCACCAAATGTTGAATGTTTGACTATCTTGCAGACACCACTACAAGGCACAAACTGTAGAAGCTTATATCTGTAAGTAGTATACGAGGCTCGGCGTAATATGACCAAAGACGTCCAACATTAAAAACGAGGTTATAGTTAATGTGATGATATATATCGTAAAATAAACTAATTGAATGGCTTACACAAGTCAATAGTATAATGTATAATTCGTAATCGATTTAAAAAACCGTTCTTTGAGTTCAAATGCGGCCACAACTCCCTGCGTGACCGCTCTGTGTATCTTCGACTCTTGACTCCTTGCTCTCGACTGACCACAGGGGTCTGAAGTTATAACAAAAAGATAACAAAATGCAACATGGGGGAAGCATTATCACCTGAGCTAGCAATTAACTAGACTAACTTTTCTGACTCAACTTTTTGCGTAGACTACGAATCCGGATGTTGCTTTGGCGTTTAGGGGGGCATTTTCTAGATATAGGGGTCAGAGCCCAAAAACACGCAATGTGACCTAATTTGACTGTATTTAATTATTGTACTTTAGAAAATGTTTAATTTTATCAAAAATTGGTTTCTTGATGAATGCTCTGTCAAATTTGGCCTTTTTTGGCATTGATGGGGGGGGGGGCAATTACAGGGAAGGGGAATTTCACTATTACTGTATCTTAAAACGTTTAGTTTAAATTCGCTTCTTTCTTCTGATTTCTTTGCTTGCAAACAATAGCTCCACAATGTCCTCAAGATAGTAGAGTAGGGCTCTGTGAACCAATCAATTAACAGATCTTCTAACCAGCCGTGATTGGCTGGTTCTTCTTTGTTGATTGTGCTTTGTAAAGCTTGTCTTTATACTCTTGCTACAAAGTTTGCATGCTTTAAGTGTTTTTCGAGGCTGCTTTGACATGGGGGCAGCAGTGACCGAACAGTTACTTTGTTTTCCTTTTGAAAGGTCCACCAGAATATAGCATATCTTGCTTCATTCACTGACAGTAATCGTTTCTCTCCATACAGTGTGCAAACAAACCTTTCTAAGCCGAGTAACAAATTACCACTTGCACAATTTTTCTTGCCAAGCTCTGAGAATATTTTTCGGAATTCTTTATGGCCTCGAAAAAGCGCTTCCAAAATGCAGGCTTTCCTTTTGCAAGAAGAATGAGATGTAGAAATTTCCTGAAAATGCATGCAGGCCAAGGAGAGCTTGATTCCGCAATAAACATAGTGCAAAAGCATTTAGATCCAGAAGTCTCCTGTATTTTCTTCTTCTATACTCCATAAAGACATGCAAGTTGTTAGCCTCCTTGGCTAAAAGGATAACAAGAAACTCATCATCTCCAGAGCGCACAATGCAAACTGTCTCCTGTCCCTTTTCATCCGTAGGACATGGTGAAATAGGTAGCAGATTTTGGTACCTGCTTTCCCATGGTTTGAGTTTGACTTTCCCACCTGAGTTACCCCTTTGCTCTCAATTTTAACATAAGAATTTTTTCTTGCAAAGTATATTGAGACTACTTATTGTTGCGCTAGAAATTCTCTGACGAAGGGGCTTGACCTTTCGATAGGGGGGCTATGCAATTGGAGAGAAAGCATGGAATCCCAATTGCAAAAAGACGCACAATCGTTAAGGTTATAACAGGACATGAATGTAACAGACAAAAAAGAACTGCTACTTAGAGCTTAATCAATATTCTTTTGTTGGGAACTCGCATTTATAACAAAATATCCCTAAAAAGACAAAGACGTATGTTGAGAAAGTTCTTTGAAGGTCTTTTTCCATGATTTTTTCACAACGTTGTAAACTTTTCTGAGTAATAAAAAAAGACTTCATGTAATCATCAAACAGAATAGGACATGAAAGTTAGTACCTGAGACGGCACCATGGTTGCCGCAAAAGGTGGGAGAAATGTTCAAACCTTGATGCTTCCAGTTTTCTGGAAAATTCACTCATTAGAGACATTTTTACTACTTTACAATACAGTCTTATTTTAAAAATAAATATCCGTGGGTGGAAAGCTATTTGACGGTTTTAATCGATTTTCTGGTAGTCATTCTCATCATTCGCACATCCAAGGCTGAAAAATTGTAATGTGGAGTTTAGCTCCCAGTGGTTTCAGTTTGCAAATTAACGTTTGAAATATTAACATTCCAAGGAGCGAAGAGGAACAAATCAAAATGAAAATGAAAACAATCAAATATATCATCGACTATTATTGATTTTTTTAAATAACGCCACCACCAAGTTAGCTGAGTAAGCACCAAAAATGCTGAATCTGCTGAGTTAAGAACAGATTCAGAACTCTTGGGGGGAGGGTGTTATCCATGTGTCTCAATGTGTCCATGCATCAAAGTATTCGATTTTTGTAACTTTTATGACTGTGATCCAGATAATTCTATGTTGAAGATAGAAATAACTTACAGAAAGTTTTTCATTTCTTTACTCCGAAGATTTTTCAAGTTCTCACAATTTTTTTTCCAGATTAATTTTTGGCACCAGGTTTTTTGGCACTATGACTGATTTTAATGCAGTATGTAGTAGCATGCTCTTGGCTGTTTGGCGTCTGTATCTTCAGTTGTTGCAAGGGCAAGAGGATTAGCTCTACTGTGGTTTTTTTTCGCTCAAAATTAAAAAGGTACCTTCTTGATTTATCTTAAACTAATCTTCAATTAAACTCGTATGATCTATCCCATAGAGGTTCATCTGGTTCTTGGTTAATATGTACTGCCTTTGTTTTTAAAATAATTGTTGGTTCTTGGTTTTTTTGTAGTAGGACGCTCCCCAGATCACATGACCTTTTATAATCACGTGACAAGTACTATTTAATCCGAAGCTTTGTAAAGCGTAGTTCAGTTATCTTCGTATCCTCGTTCAGTTAAGTTATAAATCTTGAATGATTATCAAGATATGAAAATGTAAAGAGTGTGTTTCCTTGCTCTACCATCTCAATAATATAAATAGAAGCACCTCTCACATCTGGTGGATGACCCGTTTTGTCACGATCGCCGTCCCGTATGTCGCAAGAAGAAACTCTCGGACTTATCAATGGTTTGGCCGCTGTTGCTAAAGAACAAAATGCATCCAATAAGTCAAGAACCGAAGAATTGAAATCACTTGCCTCTGCCGTAAAAGATTTATCCGACCTTATAAATCTTCAGTCGCAAACTTCTCCTGGTCATGCTGCTCTTCGCCTGCCGAACCTTACACTGCCTGAATATACAGGAATTGAAGATCTTGACCGTTTTCTGGACCAGTTCAAGCAGGTTCTCCGATCTTCTGGTGCAAATCCGCAGTTTTATCTAACGTACCTCAAGCAACAGTGCCGAAAGGATAGCCGTGCCTTCGATATTCTTTGCAATTATGAGAGCACCCATCTCGTCCGATTGCCTGCATCTCCGACCTCTGATGACTATTACCAGTTTTACAATGCTGCACTAATGGTTCTTCACTCCCAACGTGGAATTCCAAAAGACCAGCAAATTCGCAATCTCTTGGCCACGTATTATACCATGCGCCAACAACACCACGAAAGCGTCTCCAACTTCGCACACCGGTTTTGTGAGACCCAACATTCCTTGGAGAAACTAATTCCAGGTATTCACATGACAGCCGATGGAAATGAAATCGAGTTGATTCATGCCTTTGCCCTCAAACTACGTGAGGATATTTCGCGGGATCTGTTTGCTAGGGATTTCAACTATCCGACTTTAATGGCCCTGATTGAAGCTGCCAAACGATACGAGACCAAAACTACTTCAATCGCAGTTGACGAGCCTATTTCTACAGCCAATGCTTTACCCGTTACGCCTGTTTCTGCCTACCCAAGAAAAGCACCTGCACACCGTCAAGAAGCAACACCAAAACCTCCAGGTGAACTTTGCTTTCAATATAATAAATATCCCCGTGCCTTTTGTGAACTTTCTAATGGTAGATGTAAGAAAGGTTATATTCATAAGTGCACCAAATGTGGTCGCTTTAATTGTAAAGCTGTTCGTCATAATAGGACCAAGGCTATTTCGCATTATAATTCTGTTGAACCTAACTCACTCCATACGCATATTGCTAAGGTGGAACCGTCTGTCGATTCTGATACGACTTCTTTATTGAAATCTATCCACTCATTATTGCTCACGAGTAAAGAACATGTTGCACCGCCCAATGATGAGGCCGTCCCTCCCAAAGGGGGTTCGCAAGACAATGTTTATAGCATGCCTGCCATAAGTTTAGCTCCAGATAGAGTCACAATTTCTAATTTAGATCTTGCGAACCGTAATATTTTATGGTGTTCTGTTTCGTCAGCTGGGGTTTCTCTCCCTTTGCCTCTCGACACTTGCTGCTCAGTGTCTTTAGTTAGCAAAGCGCACGCTGATAAAGTTCTTGAAACACGCCCTGACCTCAAGTTTTCGCGCTTAGAGCAGCCCGTTAAGGTCTCTGTTGCCAGTCCCTCGGCCTCTCTTAAAGCCGTAGGTATAATGCAAGTTCCCTTGCAATTCGAAAATGGGCGTTCTGCAACTTTTTCTATGCTTGTCGTGCCAAATTTATCTTGGCCGGTACTTTTTGGCCAAAATCATTTACGCAAGACCGATGCCCGTATTAATTCTCGTTCTCTAACTGTATACTTTGCCGATAAAGGGTTAGAATTCGAAGTCAAGTGTCACGATTCTAATCCTATTCATGCATTTCCACATTTGCATTTTCCTACAAGTAGTTTTACTTCTACTGCTAATGTTACATGTTTGTTGACTGCCCTACCAACACAGCCAGGTGAACCTGTTCGCCTCCACAGGGGCTTTAATTTTGTTACTGTTTGCATGTTGCTTGCAACATCGCTGGTGGGTTCCTCCCTATTTTCGGCTTCGGGTGACCTTTGGCTGGAAGGTAATAAAATATTACCGGGGGTCACTACCCTTAGTGGTCCTATTTCCCTTTCTGGGTTACCGAGCATGACAAATTTGTGCACTTCTGTCATGTCCCCTTTTTTGGCTTCCAGCTACC